TCCAGTTTTCCATAATGATCCATTTAGGCCCTTTCTGTCATGTTTTCAAGCCCAATCACATTATCCAGAATCTAACAGAATCTGAAGACTAATCAGCACACGTTACTTCTTGAGAAGGAATAGCGAACCAGAGACGGTGGGGAAATCTTTTATATCCATCTTTTCCCCTAAGAAACGATCCGCCTGTAACAGTGAATAGCGTTGTAACCCTCTTCGTTCTCATTTGTTCGTTTTTTAGTGATTCCGTATCTGTCAGACAGTTCTGCGGGGAAGTTTCATTCCCTGCAGTTGGTTTACCGCTTTTTCTTAAGTCGCGTGTGACTCTTCATCCTCAGCAGCTATTAGTTTAGTCGGTGTATCCCAGGCTTGTTTAAGTTTCCAGGTTCGTGCTGTGTGACTTTCTCTCCCAGCCTCACATTAACTGTTTCAGAGCAGTGTGCCTTTGAGGTGGTGTGGCCGTGTTTCTGGCTCTGTTCTTCTCCCCAGCAGATCTGAGGCTATTGATTCTGTTGACAGTCTAAGGGAAAGACCTGGGATGTCAGCCTGTGGTTGGGTGTTTTCAGGCCTTTGGAGGTGGTTTGTCTTTAGTGTGCGTATCTCACCTTTTGATGTGTTTCATTAACAAAATTCCAAGGATTACATCTTACCATGTGGGTGTTTCTGCATATCTTTTACTTAGGTGGTAATCATCCTTTCAAAATTAAATTTGGTGGTTAATGTAGTCTCTTTTAGGCTGAAGCTGTATACTTGTGATACTGAATTCTTAATGTTTTCTAAATAGCCATAATATCTATTACATTTTTTTTTCTTTAAAAAGAAATCTCAGTGTGCAGCACTATGTGAACAAAAGCAACATTATTTAGTGTAAATGGTTTAAGAACCATGGTTGGTAATGTCATGCATTGAATGGGGAGATAATCAAGTCCGTATACATTAAGCATTTACTAGGTAAAATAATTTTCCATGCTGTAAATAACTGTTCAAGTTGTTAAATTTGTTTGTATTAGCCACTTAATCTACTCACTCTTTTGTCTTTTGTACCATGTTATATTTCTATTTGATAATCACAGATAAATGTATGTGATAATAATGTTTAAAGTTTTTTTGATTAAAGAAATATAACTTTGTTACAGAGATTTTGGAAAATAGAGAATAGTCTAAGTAAGAAAACTATCCTGCTGTGCATATCATATCCACTGTTAATGTCTCAGCATATATTACACTTTTTCTGTGTCTACATAACTAGGTGCTCAGTTTATCCCGTCCTTCTCTTCTGCCCCCCCCGCCCCCATTTCTTAACCAAAATTAGGAATTTAGTGTACATGGTAATTTGTGACCATTCTCCTCCCCTTAATATTTTGAGTTAAAGAAATCAATTATTCTATTAAAGCAGTATTTTTTAATGGCTCTCAATGTTTGATCATTATGGCCAGACTCAAGTCTTTATAATAAAGAGCCTGTTGTTGGACCATATCTTATTTACACAAACCTCTGTTGTTCCCAGTTTTTTGTTGCTTTAAATAATGTTGGCAGTGTTTTCTTAGATATAAATTTTTGTGTGCTTTTCTTAATTAAATACCTAGAAGTGAAATTAACTGATAAGCAAATTAACATTAGTAAAGATATATATATATTTATAAAATTATTTTCATGAATTTTAATATGCTTTATTTGGATTAACTTAAAAATTTTATATTGTTAAATTCACTGTTTTGCGATACACTGTTGTTTGAGTTTTGACAAATGCATGCACTTGTCTACCATAATCAAGAAGGGGAATTGTTTCTTCACCTCAGAAAATTCCCTCCTTTGTCTTTTGACTACAAAGTGTTTATTTTTAATACAGAAAATGTAAGGAAAAAAAATAATTAGAAACCCCCCATAAGCTTACCACCCTGCTATAACCTCTATTGACATTTTGTTGAATATCCTTCTGGTCTTTTATTTCTTCTTCTGTGCAAAAAAAAGAGATCATACTCCCCTTTCTGTTTATAGTCTTTTTCTTTTTTTTACTTCGTATATTTTGAGTATATTTTAATTTAACCGTTAGATCGGTTTTTGTTTCTGTTTCTTTGCAATTCTAATTAATCTTATCATGAATATCTTTGCATATTGCCATGATTACTTAAGTCCTAAAAGTAGAGCGTTTAGATCTCAGTGCATATGTACGGTTTTCAAACTTATTTACATTTTGTCAAACTGATTTTTAAAATGCTTATGCCAATTTATATTCTGACGAACAGTGTCTTGAAGAGAATGTTTTCCATGTATCTTGGGCAGTATTATTTTTATTTTATATTTTTAAATCTGATAGATGAATTATGGAATTTTGTTATTTTAATTTTCATTTTTGATTTCTTATGGGTTTTTTAAAATGTGTTATGTACATTTTTGTGCAGATTGCTAGTCTATGTCACTTGGATGTTTTTCTCTTGACTCTTTTTGGGGATGGAGAGCTTATTTTTTAAGTGCTTTTTATGTGAGCAATACTAATTTCACTGTTAGGAGTTAGTATTTCTTTTCATTTGCTTGTTCATTTTGTTTAATGTTTTTTATTTTATGGAGGTTCTCATAAATCCATCCTTCTGCATTTCCTTTATATTTGGGGGTATGTATTGAATTTAGACAGATCTTTCCTCTTTAGATCATATAGTCTTGCATATTTTCTTCACACATAATTTTATCAAAAATTCTTTCTCCAGTTGCTACTACTCCATTACTAGTACATTATTACTACTCCTCTTATACTCCTGTTAGACTAGTAAGGTTTTTACTGTTATGTCAAGGAGCCATAGATTATGTGCTTGCATATGTGTGTATTTTTTATTTAATCTCATTATTTGGTTTTTAAATTATTCTTATACTTTCAAGCAGCATGAACTTTTCATTGAAATCTTCTATTCGAACAGTATTTAATAGTACAATAATATTCAAATATGTGCCAAGTTAAGCAAGTCCTCTTATTTTTTTCCCCATTGTCTCCTTTGGCTTGCATTTTAGGTAAATACTATCCATCTGATTTCTTGGTTGGTGTTAGGGGAAAAAGTGTTTCTCCTGGTAAATAACTGTTTCTCTGTTTTTTACATGCCACAGGATATTGAAGTCAAAGTAAGTAGCAAAACAATTACCTACAACAGATGTGCAAATGAGCTCACCTGAGTTAAACATGTAGTGACAGTCTCCCTTACACAGGTTGAGCCAGGCGAACCTTAATCGCCTTGCATGGCAAAAGAATGGGAATGCCAAAATATGTATTTTGCTTATTTTTTAAAATTTCTAGTCAGGCTTGTGTTCAACATTCATTGACCAAAAAATACGTTAAAAACTTTTCTAATGTGGGTGATGTAGGGACGTTTGTTCTCAGAAATAAAGGTCATTTAAATATAATAAAAATAGAAACAGCAGTTTAAAAAATGCATTTTTCATTGTCCCTCCCCCAGTTTTATTGAGATATGATTGACATACAGCAGTGTGTAAGTGTGAGGTGTACAGCATAACAGTGATTTGACTTACATACCTCCTGCAGTGATGACTGCAATAAGTTTAGTAAATACGCATCATCTTCGTATAGACACAGCACTAAAGAAGTAGAAAAATATGTTTTCTCTTGTGGTGGGAACTCATAGGATTTACTCTCTTATGATCTTTATAAGGTAGAACAGTATTAATGATCTTATCATGTTGGGCATTACATTCCTAATGTTAATTTATCTTATAACTGGAAATTTTTATCTTTACCACCCTCATCTATTTACCCCTCTCTCTTCCCCTCACCTCTGGTAGCTACAAATTTGATCTCTTTTTCTCTGAGTGTTTTTGTTTGTTTGTTTTTGAAGTATAATTGACCTGCAACACTATGTTAGTTCTTGATGTACACCATTGTGATTTGATATTTCTGTATATTGGAAAATGGTCATCATGATAAGTCTGGTTGCCATCTGTCACCATGCAGAGATATTACGTAATTATAGACTTACAGACTACATCCCCCAGCTGTAGTACATTTCACATTTGTGAATCATTCATTTTGTAACTGAAAGTTTGTATCTCTTATTTACCCCCACTTATTTTCCTCCTCCCCCAGGTGCCTCCTCTCTGACAGCCACCTGTTTCTTCCCTGTATCTATGACTCTGCTTCTGTTTGGCTATATTTGTTCATTTGTTTTGAGTTTTAAATTTCACATATAGTGAAATCATACAGTATTTGCCTTTCTTTATCTGCCGTTTTACTTACCCTAATACCCTCTCAATCCATCTGCTTTGTCCCAAATGACAAGATTTCAAAGAAATGCATTTTTAATTTAGCTTCAAAAACATCCATAAGAAAGCATTATTTTTTTCAAGGATAAAGATTTTATTGCTTGAGTTTTAATTTCATTAAAAAGATAAATTAGTAGGATAACTAAGAGTTATAAAATTACTTTTATTATTTTACTTTTAATTACTTAAAATTATTCAAATAAAGAATTAGAATTGTTTTTGCCCTTTTTGCCAAAGACAACTATGCCATTAAAAAGGAAGTAGACCGATACATTTATTTATATGCTGGTTTCACTGGGTATTTTAAGGGTTCTCGTACAGAAGGTTTATGTACAAAATGTTATATAGGCATTTTTTATTGCTCAAGAAAGGTTAATAACTCTGTGTCTTTTGCCTGGGATAAAAATCAAAGTTTTATTAAGCAAAATATTAATCCTTGAAATTACTCTTCAAAAGAGAAGTTAAATAAAACTGTCTGTGCTGTGGTCTGACATTATCAGAAACATTTGGACAAAGTAGGACACAGCTGTTACAGTTTAAAAAAGTACAATGCAGGCCCATTCTTTACATTTAAATACAGCAGTCATCATCTTATAAATGTTTTTTCTATAGCAGAGACCTACTAGCCTGCAAAAAATCTTCATCTTTGTATACGTATTTCTAATGCAATTTATACTTAACTTTTGCTTTGCTGTTACTGCTTTTTCTTAATATAGTGTATTTTTCATTTCTCTTTTTAGGCTAAGCAGCTGGAAGAGAAAGATCGGGTGATAAAGAAGCAGGATGCATTCTACAAAGAGCAGCTGGCTAGACTGGAGGAGAGGGTATGACTGTTTCTTGTCAGTGATTCTTTTCTCTTAACCACATCTGCAGTGTTCCCATGGGTGTATTTAAAAATCAATACATTAGAACTGTATCCACTTTTCCTAGTTAAAAAGTGGCCAGGAAGTAAAGAAGCCAACCAGGGCGATCACTTTCGAAGATAATGTCATTTCTACTTTGGTAGTTTTGCATATTGTTGTGTTACTGGTTCGTTGATAACATTTTACTACTCAGGAACTCCCCCCAAATATTTTCCCCTATATGTTTAGAAGCTGCATTGTCTCCAGGTCAAGCAGTAGAGTGCTATTCTGGGCTCTCCCAAACACTGACTAAACTTGAGCACATTCTTAGAAGCGGAAATGTTTTGAAGGATAAACTATCTTTGTGAAAGCTCAGTTTCATTGCACTTGTGACCAAGAAATGAATGTCTTTTTCAAAACTGGTGGACAGAAGGTGAATAGTAGGACTCAGAAGAGTTAGGGTGGAGAGTGGAGGAAGTACCTCTGGTTTCTATGACTATAGAACTCAGCAAAGACTCGAGGAAATTGAGACTGAAAGAGGAGGAGGCAGTGGGCTTAAGATTGGAAATTTGGGGACCCAGTCAGTGCCCCTGTTCAATGAAATACTTTATTAATAGTCTAGGATAATTTCATACCTAGACCATGAGGTTGCAAAGCTGGTTTTCTCTTTGCTTTGATTGAGACCTCCAAATTTGATTTGGAATAGCATGTTTAGTAAAAAAAAAAAAAAAAAAGTAGGTAAACTAAGAAATAGACTATTAAACTCCATTCAGTACAAATGTTTGTATGTTGTCTTCACCTCTCTCTATGTCACTGAACTTAGTACTTCTTGAATGTAGGGACCATTTTCTCATTGATTCAGGAGATGTGTGTATATGTCAGGCCGTGCTAGTGCCAGAGATAAGCTAATGAAGAAAGTGAGCTAACCTGTTGCCCTTGTGGAGCTTAAATTCATTAAAACCCTGTCAACATGTTGAATGGCAGATTATAATAACATGGAAACAGTGAAGTGGGAAGAGGAGTCCCAGGGCCTAGGAATGTAGGTGTGGGGCTGGGTGGAAGGACCTTTCTAAGAGGTATCTGGGTGTGGGAAGCAGGCCAGGACCAACCCCTGAAGCAGGGTTGTGCTTGACATGTTTGGAAAGGCTAGATGGCTTGTGAGTTGCTGTCTTCAGTAAGAACTGAAGCAAGAGGGACTTATTAGGTTGATGCAAAGGTAACTGCAGTTTTGGACTGTGAAATTTTAAATCGTTATAACTAGGCTCAAATATATCTTTATTAATCAAAATAGGAACCATCGCAATGAACACATTTTTGCCAACAAGAAATGACCCTTGAGGTATGGTTTGCAGAGGACTGATTTAGTGCACAGGTTCTGACACCTGGGGGCTTAGATTCAAGTCCCTGAACTGGCATTACCTGCTGCCTATCTCGGAGTATCATACGGAAACTTTAGGTTTCCTCAGCTCTAAACTGAGGATTTAGTAGTACCTACCTCACTAATTTGTAAAATGAGATAATTCTCATAAATCAGCTGTAAGACTGCCCAGGACAGAGTAACTGTTCAATCAGTGGTAGCTCTTCTTTTACTTCTATCCCGAGCACTGTTTCTGATGTAATGAGTAAATATTATCTGAATCAAATGAGCGAGTGAAAGTTTTTGAGGTGATTAACCAGGAACCTGCTTTTCCCCCCACCCAGTGATATTTTTCTTTGCCTTCAAGTATTACTGTGCTAGGTATGTTTTGAAGTTCTCATTGATCACTGTTACATACAAGAAAAGGCACTGATAAATATTCACCCATTTCTCATAAATGACGAATTTCCTTGAGATATTCAGTGATTGATTTGAGGCACTGAGAGGATGGATTTACTCTTGGCCAATTAAAGATGGCGCTAGTGGTAAAGAACCCTGCTGTCAGCGCAGAAGACATAAGAGAAATGTGTTTGATCCCTGGGTTGGAAAGATCCCTTGGAGAAGGGCGTGGGAATCCACTCCAGTATTCTTTCCTGGAGAATCCCATGGATCAGAGGAGACTGGCCGTCTACAGTCCATGAGTTCGCAAAGAGTCAGACCACAACTTAGCAACTAAGCCTCCACCACATGTAATACCTTTCACATTCTTAAAAAGTTTACCTCACATTTATGTCAGCTTTGATAAAGCTGGCAAGATTTGCAATGAAACAAGTACTTGAAAAACTTTAAAATGGCTTTGTCAGTGAAGAGTTGATACCTTTGCATGTTGGTTCTAAGAAGGGTGAAATTGGTGTACAGTTAAATTACACTTATTACTCCTCATGAGTTGGAGAAAGGAAGAAATTATCTCAGATGTCTGGGGAACCAGCTGATATGAATACCGGGGGGTGGGGGAGCTCCATTCACACAAGGAAATGTCTAATTGAGAAGGAGTGTATTAAAGTAGAATCTAGAGACATCCCAAGCTGTATTACAGAATTGCTTGTGTTTAAAATGCTCAGTAGATTTGGGTTCATATTCTCAAATGACCATAAATTTCTCACTTTAAAGTAAAAGAAGCAGAATGAGATATTAAAATAACTCTTAGGGATATCATGCTGTAGTTGCATCATGAAATTTGCATCAAGTCAATGAAAATGAATAGCTGAGTAATAAGATGATGAGTCATCAAAAAGTGATAATGTACAGATGGTTAACAAACACATGAAAAGATGCTCAACATTGCTCATTATTAAAGTAATGCAAATTAAAACTATAATGAGGTATAACCTCACACCGGTCAGAATGGCCCTCATCAAAAAGTCTGCAAACAATAAATGCTGGAGAGGGAGAAAAGGAAACGCTCTTACACTGTTGGTGGGAATGTAAATTGATACAGCCACTATGGAAGGTGGTATGGAGATTCCTTCAAAAAACTAGGATTTTAAAACCACCATATGACCCAGCAATCCCACTCATAGGCATATACTCTGAGGAAACCAAATTGAAAGAGACAACATGTATCCTATTGTTCATTGCAGCACTATTTACAATAGCTAGAACATGGAAGCAGCCTAGATGTCCATTGACAGATGAATGGATAAAGAAGTTTGGTATATATACACAATGGAATATTACTCAGCCATAAAAAGGAACACATTTGAGTCAGTTCTGATTAGGTGGATGAAGCTAGAACCTTTTATACAAGGTAAAGTGAGTCAGAAAGAGAAAGATAAATACCATATTCTAACACATGTATACGGAATCTAGAAAAGTGGTACTGAAGAATTTATTTACAGGGCTGTAATGGAGAAATAGACATAGAGGATAGACTTACGGACATGGGGAGAGGGGAGGAGAGGGTGAGATGTGTGGAAAGAGTAACATGGAAACTTACATTACCATATATAAAATAGACAGCCAACGGGAATTTGCTGTATGGCTCAGGAAACTCAAACAGGGGTCTGTATCAACCTAGAGGGGTGGGATGGGGAGGGAGATAGGCAGGGGGTTCAAAAGGGAGGGGATATGTGGGTACCTGTGGCTGATTCATGTTGAGGTTTGACAGAAAACAGCAAAATTCTGTAAAGCAATTATCCTTCAATAAAAAATAAATTTTTAAAAAGTGATAATATATGCAATTACTGTGGCGGCTAATGTAGCTGATAGGCAGATGGTGTGGTGGTCTTAGAAGTCATCCTGGGAATGACTGTACAAGATTCCATGTCCCCTCTTCATTAATAGACCACCTAGTATTCAGCTGATGCTTTCACCAGTTCATCTAGTTAAAAGAGAGAAAGATAAGTACTTGTATCCACTTTTAAACGTACATTTTTAAACAGGAACCTGGACTTCATAGTCGGTTAAATGATTCTGCAACTTGTATAATACCACAACCATTTTTCCTTACATTAGCCACTGCTGGATTCCGCATTTTGTATCTTTTAACACACAGTGTGCAGAATTTCTAACAGAAATGGTTAGACATTGTGCTTTTTTCACTGTCATCACAAGAAAAATCCTCCTTACAATCTTCTGCATTAAGTTTAGAAAGTGCCTCATCTTTGCACACCTAAATGTCTCTTACATATTCCAAGGTGAAATCCAACTGGAAAAAATTCAGCTTAGGTACTTTTAGGAATGGCAGTAATAAACAAAAATACGATATTACAGAAATAGACAGAAGACACCGAGGTTAAATACCACAGAAGTAATTTTATGATTTTCAGTATCTTGCGCACAGTGGAAAATATTCTTTTTATAAAAAATATTTCTTTCTTTGGCTGCACCGGGCCTTAGCTGTGGCACCCTGGATCTTTGATCTTCACTGCAGCATGTGGGATCCACCGCCCTGACCAGAGATTGAACCCTGGGCCCCCTGCATTGGGAGTGCAGAGCCCTAGCCACTGGACCACCAGAGAAATCTCGGAAATACATATTCTTTAAGGGGCAACAGCTTATATTTGGGAGAAGGCAGTGGCATCCCACTCCAGTACTCTTGCCTGGCAAATCCCATGGACGGAGGAGCATGGTAGGCTGCAGTCCATGGGGTCGCTAGGAGTTGGACATGACTGAGCAACTTCACTTTCACTTTTCACTTTCACGCATTGGAGAGGAAATGGCAGCCACTCCAGTGTTCTTGCCTGGAGAATCCCAGGGACAGAGGAGCCTGGTGGGCTGTCATCTGTGGGGTCGCACAAAGTCGGACAGGACTGGAGCGACTTAGCAGAAGCAGCAGCAGCAGCAGCTTATATTTGTTAAGCTCTTTCTTACCTCATGTAGGTATGCCCTAACTGAAAAAAAGCTTGAGTATCAATTCCCAGTGGTTGATGTAAGAAGTTTGAGAGTATTAATTCCTGATCGGTGATTGATGAAGGCATCACGGGGCAGCTTTTGGGGAAAATGTTCCTAAGTGCCTTTGGCTGCACCTTCTCCAGGCCCTGTGGGGCTTCTCTGGTGGCTCAGACGGTGAAGAATCTGCCTGCACAGCAGGAGACCTGGGTTTGATCCCTGGGTTGGGAAGATC